GTTGATTGAATAAAAATTAATTGAGACAGGGTGACCACCCTTGGATCACTTCGGGAAAGGGAGCACTTGTTGGTTAAATTCCATTCATTTGCCAATCCAACGCATGATTTCAAAACCACGCGAGCTGCTACTGCAGCAGCAAGAAGAGCGGCTGCACGCATGCGTGCGGCCGCGGAAATTGCCTCTAACGCCTCAGCAGCAGGCGATTCGTCGCCTGTTGTCGTGAATTCTTTACGTGGTGAGTCACCACGTGGGAAAGGTACAATCCGTTGTGTCTGCAGCGGGTACCTCGGTTCGGACTCAAGACGAGTCTGAAATTGAGCTCGTCTTTTCTGGCGAGTAAGATGGTGTATCCGACTCGAAGGAGACTCCTCACGCCTCGGGATCACCCGGGGCGGACACTGCAAGAGCCAGGCTGACTGGCTCTGGTCAGCGCGGCAGTATCATGACCGAGATCTTCGGATCGAGTGATTATTCCGATAGGTCTTCGCCTCACACAAGTCCATCCAACGATAGGACTCATTGGGATGGTGGTGTTGCACCTATGCATCACCACGAGCGAAGTAACTCGAGGGATCGGGGTTACACTAATATTAGCGCTCACGCTGGCACCAAATCAAGAGGCCAGGGACCGAAATGTCCTGCGCCACGCTCTTAAGTGGACTCTCCTTGGATGCCGTCATCCAAAGCGTTAGACCGGTTGGCCGGCATGACTACCGATCGAGATCGAATCCCGTTGTCCGACTGCAGGAAGATTTGCCCACCTAATCCCAGCACGGAAACTATCCGTGCTGAGTAAGAATTCTTCACCGATGCATTTTTCAAACATCGGTGGTACGATGGTAGCCGTGTACGAGACGGCAAAGCCTTGGTGCAGGGATGGAATGCCCTCATCCACAACATCGAGTGTATTGGCCTTGAGGCTTGGCGTGCCAAACTTGATGCAGCTTGCATCAGGTTAGAGAAGCGCAACCCAGTCGGGGCGCGATACAAGTTGCACCAGCTTTCAAGAGAGGCAGGATTACCCTGTCTCTCGCGGTGTAATTCGTGTTCAGGTTGCCTGTACAACTCGAACCGTTCCCCTAGGGAGGCCTACCTCCCTAATGATCCCTACTGGAGCGCGTGAATGTCTTCCGAGATGGCCGAAGGTATTGACACCTTGCAATCCCTGTACTCGCGTTCAAGGAGGTCTTTTTCCGACGGCCCTTCCCAGCTGTCCCACGCCGGTGGATAGCCACGTTAGCGGGCGAGGTAACTCGTCCGGACGCCATTCACATCGCGGTGGTTCAAAATGCGCTCCACCAGAAAGTGGTGACCACCGCCTGAGTCCACCAAAGGATGTGGTGGTGGTAAGAGCACCTGGTCCGGCTCGAGGGTCAGATCAGCTTGATGTTCAGGAGCTAAACCGTGTAACGTAACTGTTGCACGATGACTTGGCTCATTAATGGACTCGGCGTTATGTGCTCCATGACGTTGTAAAGGATAATTACAATTCCTCAACTGACGACCGTTCGGACGATCGTGCCGCGTTTGCGTTCGCGCAACTTGAGAACGAACGTTCGACTCGTTCTCTTTGTGACGAGCTGGCTGTCGCACGTCGAGACATCGCTGAACTGCGTGAACAGGTTGCTTCGCTAGTCGACCAGACTGGCTCGTTGAAACGGGAGCACTCGAAGGTGGTCTCGGCTCTCGACCGCGGAGGTGTTCTTCGCATTCTCGAAACGGGCTCTTTCTGATAGTACGGGCGGAGACGTCCAATGTAAAACGTAGAATGTGTACGCATCCTACAAGGCAGTTCGATCGTGTATGCGTTGCCCATTAGGCACAACACACGAAATAGACCGATATACTTGGGCAGTAATAAACTGCTTCCCATGTTCGTCACTGCGTGTTTCGGTAAGTTTAATGCTGAAAGTAAAACTAAGTCTCCTTCATTAAACGAAAGAACATTTGCTCTTCCATGTTTGTCTATGTTTCCCTTCTGTCGGTCTAGTGCATCTGCAACAGAGTCTTGAACGAAGCGGACAACCGCTTCGCGAGTCAGCAGAAATTCCTCTGCCGACTCATCCTTTTCAACAGCAGTGCGCCTTGCGGCAATGCTGAAAGAACGTTGTCTTCACCAGTGAGGGCGTCATCTTCCTCACTTTGGCAGTCATTGGCGATGCTGAATATGACATCGTCGTCGTCGTCATCATCATCGATTTCGATCGCATCGGCATCCATCACGTCGACACCCTTGTCGAAGGGTGATGAGCAAGAACCAGATTGGATTCTGTTCGAGTGAATCCACCCCTCCCCCCCTTAAACTAGCGTCACACTCTAAGAAGACGGGTAGCGTGGATGGCGTAGGCCATTCACGAAGAACGGTGTATGAGTTGTCGACGCGTTCACCGAGTTGTTGATGGCGAATTCCGCCGTCTGCAAGAAGTCACTCCAGCTCGTATACGAGTGGATATACCCTCGAAGTATCTCTTCGAGGACGCGGTTGACGCGTTCCATCTGACCATATGTTTCTGGATGGTCAGAAGTCGACATCTACAGACGTGTTCCAAGTGAACAGAACACGAATTGCCAGAGCTCCGCCGTAAAGCGGGGGTCCCTGTTGGACACGAGTTCACGGGGTAACCGTGAAGTCGGAAGATAGTATCGATGAAGACACGAGCACAGCCCTGGGCTGTGATTGACTCCGGTACAGCAACAAGATGTACCATCTTGCTGACCGATCAACAAACACAAGACTACCAGTATTCTTGTGAACGTCTTTGGGTTTCCCAAAGACAAAGTCCATCGATACGGACTGCCAACACTCTGCCGGAATCGGAAGAGGCTGCAAGGGTGCGCGGGATGAAGGTCTAGGCTTCAACAGTTGACAAACTTCGCAAGCGCGAATGTATTTGCGCACAAACTCAAACTGGCGTGGCCAGTAGAAGCCACGACTCACCGTGAGGTAATTCTTTTCCCTTCCGCGATGCCCACGTGTTGGGACATCGTGACACTCATACATGATGCGCTATCGCAAATCATTATGAGTGGGAACGACGGCACAAGGTGTGTCGTTGTTGACTTCTGTATAGTACATCAGTCCATCAAGAACAGAATACCGTTTGGTTAAAGAGCGGTATTGAGACGTCAAGCATCCCAAAGCATGACTGCATGGATTGGATACGTAATCCATCAATCGCAGAAGAGCATTATCTTCTGTGCATGCTATTCGCACGTCGTCGAGCAGATCCGACGACAGAACACTCACGGTTAGTGTTGCAACAGTAAGATCACCCCTTCTGTTGTGTTGAGCAGTCGGCTCGAAAATCGGGCAAATGCGAAAGAGTATCATCGACGACATTGAGTCGTCCTGTTTATACTCTATGGAGAAGTTGCACTCCCCGAAGAAAGACAGCCACCTCGCCATTTGTTGCGAGAGGTGTGGACTGTTTACGGCGATGCGTAACGATACATGGTCGGTATAAGCGATGAAGGACCTATCTCCTAAGAGATATACCAAAAACTCAGCCAGTGCACATTTCATGGCAAGGAGTTCCTTTTCATGCACCGGGTAATTACGCTCAGCTGCTTGCAGCTGACGCGATTAATAACAGACGACGCGCTCAACGTCGTACTGCATTAACGCGCAGCCGATTGCAAAATCGCTGGCGTCACAGACCACATGAAATAGTCTGTCCTGGTCTGCAATCGCCAACCGAGCTGATTGTATTAGGCTTTAATTGATGCCTTCAAAGAAGTGCTGACACTCAGCAATCCATGACCACCTCTCGTTTTTCTTTAGCAGACGAGAGAGATGTACGGTCATCTCAGTGTAGTTGCGCGAGTACTTGTGCAAGCACGCCGCCAAGCCAAGGAACTTTCGAAGTCCCTTGAAGTCGACTGGCACAGGCCAGTCGCGAATCGCCTTGATCTTTTCCGGATCAGGGCGCACACCGTTTTTATTCACGATGCATCCAAGAAGTGGTATTTCGTTCGCTGCGAATATACACTTTTTGAGGTTCGCGAACAACTTATGCTCTCGTATTAGTGGAAGAACCTTCCGGACGTGGTATCGATGAGCCTACACGTCCGTCTTTTCATCCACATCCCGGCTATGGACAAAGACATCGTCGAAGTAACTCGGTGCGAAATCGCCGCCGATCGCAACAGATTCGTAACAAATCTATTGAACGTAGCAGGGGCGTTATTTAGCCCCTGCGGCATCACTAGCCACTCCCAGAGGTTAATGCCGCGCGGCTGTCTCAGACCACCCGAAGGTGTCCTGCGAGGGTCAGTGACGCTGTACCTCGTTAGGAGCCCGCACCCCTCATTACACTATGGGGCTTTTCGGCTAGTAGGGCCTCCGGACGGCACCGGCCACTAATTGGTGGTTGCTCGTCTACATTATTAGCCTGTCTCCGGCGCCCTGTAATCGAACCCCCACCGCGTATCGATCCAGTTACCTCCCGGTCCCAGTTCCAGTGGTCTACCACTCGGCCACTGGAGTCGGTAACTAGCCACTCCCAGAGCATACCACTGGGGGTGCTTACTGCTGTGTACGGGATGTCCCGTTCACTCATGGGGATCTGATCGAATGCATCCATCCGATCCCCTGGACGAAAAGATGGTACCTTTGCCATACCATCTATGATGACATACTTTCTCGGGATCGGCGTTTGAGCCGGCATCGTTGCAGCGTTCAGTTTCTTGAACGCGTGCACTATCCGTCACCCTCCTGTGGCCTTTAGCACACAGAAGGTCGGAAAGCTGTGTGGCGATGTTGATTTCCTCACATGACCAGCCGCTAAACGATCGGCAAAGAATTTGTCGATCGCTGTGACCTGTAAACAAGGCAGTGGCCACTGCTTCATGACACAGTATTTCGAACCGGGTTTTAGTTTGATCTCATGCCGAGTGCTTTTGTCCTTGGGCAGCTTGCATGGCACGGGTTCAGGGAAAACGTCCCTGACTTCAACCAAATCCTTGTAGAAAGGATTTTTCTTCAAAGACTCCCAAGATCAAGACGCGTATCGCTCAATCCGGATCTTCTCATATAGGACACTCTCGTCCATCGATGAGCGACTGAGAACTTGTTCGTTCTCAGCAAACACATGTGCCGACCGAATATCGGCGACGTACTCGACCTCTGTGACGAGTAGGCAGATCTGCTTGATCTTGTCACTACGCAGATCTTGCAAAAATCTTTTAGATTCTAGCATTGGCAACTTGACTACCTCCGAAGCTGACTTCATAGGTGTAACCAGATCAAGTGTATAAGCGCCCACACTTGATCCGTCATTCACCAAGACATTCACTGTCTCGGTTATTTCCTCGGAAAACACATCCACAGGTGGTTGGGGATCCAGACCCTCAACATAACTCTCTCGGGAGTTATCACTCTCAGGAACGCTGGAACTTTCTTCCATTACGTGTACTGACTGTACGTGCACTATTAAAGTCATGTCCTCTTCTATCGACTCTCTTTTTGTCGATCTTGGTTCAATGTGTTGTTTATCATGTACAATACTCGTCTCTCTTCTTGGATGCAACCTTCTTGGTGTGCATTCGTGTTCCAGTCCACTCGATCTCTTCAAGTGGTGAACCTTCGGCGCAGCCTGTGTCTCTACACTGGTGCCGGGAGCTGGTTCCACAGCGCAGTGGCCTTCTACACTGTGATCTTGTGCAGTCGTACAAACGACCGTACCACAAGTTAGGCTATCGCACTCACTAGTAGTACATCCACACGCTTGTGGACGATACAAGTGGTTCATCAGATGTACATCTGATGAACAAACGGCAGGCATCTTCACGGGTCGATGCTGCCAGCTGACCCATGGCTGGTATTTTATAAGCTATGGCAGACCGAGGATGACAACAAATTTGTCACCAAAAATAGTACGATGAAGTCATCATCGTACTGCTTTCCTTCTAGCGTGTAGTGGATTCCCACTACACGTTTGTTCACTGTTACGGATGCGCCTGTAGCAAGGCACACCGTCATCCTCGTTGGAGGGGACTCTCTCTCAACATAGTTGAGCCTACTATCCTCTAGCGACTGGCGTCGAATAAAAGTTTTCGACGCCCCACAGTCAACTAGGACGCGAAGTGACATTCCACTTGTCACTTCTATCTTCAACGGGATGAGTGACACCTCATCGGCTCGGGGCAGTAACACACAGCGACTGTGTGTTGGGAGCAATCTTCGTCAAGACTCCTGAAAATTCTCTTGAGTTTGATAAATCAGCAGGGTGCTCCGCCCCTACTGACCCTGTTCGTTTTTTGGCGGTACGACTTGCTGTCGCGGCTTAGCGACATGGTCGGACCCACGCCTTGGACTTTTTCTTGGCCAACGATGGTCATCACGTTCTGTCTTTGGACGTGTTGCGTTGCTCGGGACACTACACTCATGAGCGTAGTGTCCAATCTTCTGAAAGCGATGGCATCGTGCCGTTCGCTTGTGATTCATAGAGCGAGAGTTCTCGCTATCTATGTAACAGAGGTCCATTGGCTCGGGACCTCCTGTTTCCTGTCGTCTCGTCGGATGATAGTTTGACGAGTTAGCCGGAGACTGTATCAGGATGAATTCTTCTTGTTCCGCATACGCTATCACCTTTTCCAGCGTATGGAAGTCCTCTCGGATCATGTAGGTATTTACCGGCCCATCCGCAAGGCCATAGATGAACACGTTGATGAGCGTGTGCCCAACAACAGGGTTTCCGTGACGCTACTCGCAAGGTAGCGTAGGTGCTGTGCATAAGCGTGCGCGTCACGCTTACCTTGCTCTAGCCTCAATAGTGCAGAGCATGCTCTGAACTCGGCTCTCGGCGGCTCAAACGTCTCTTTAAGCCGAGACTTCAAAATCTCCAACGAGTCACATGTTTGTGTTGTGAAGCTGGAGACCTAAGGCCCAAGTCTTTGCTCGTCCCGTCAAATTTGACAGGGCGAAAGTGACTTGCGTCTCGTCACCCTCGATGTGACAGTCCCTGATGGCGTCGTCTAACTCCACGAACCATCTCAAAAGAAAATCTTCATCGGTTCCCTAATACCTTGAGATGTCTATCTTCAAGCTTTCGGGTCGACGCGTGTGCGTCGGCCCGCCCATCGACTGATGATAGCCTTGATGTTGTAGCAAGGCTATCTTCTGTTTTTTGACAGCAAGTTCCCCTTGTAGGAACTTGTTGATAGCAGTATGTTGCTGGTCTCTGCTTAGAGACTCCAACATACCACTGATGGCGGGTTCGCCCATGAGGACACTCACGCGGCCGACTATCTACCATTTAAAGTTATTCAGATGGGAATAGCCTACTCGTGTGACGTGAAAGCTGTCGTCTTTTTCTTCCAACATTTTCACATTGGACGGACTACGAAGTGCTACCAGGTGTAAAGGGGCACCCTCTGTTTGGGTGCCACGAAACTTCACGCACACTAGTACGTGCAGAGGAAGCTGATCTAGTCAACAACTAGGTTGAGTAAAGGGTAAAAAGAGAACTGTATTCAAGATAGTTAAGCTATCAAAATGACTCTAATCTTTATCCAAATATGTTAAACTACGCCGTCGTATGACGACAACATGATCACCACTCATTGCGCGCGTCTGGCAGCCGATGGTGGCAACCTATGGTTGATATGTCTTTTATCAACTAATCTTTGAGCAGCGCATGAATATTATCCTAAAAAGGAATACTATTCCTTCAATATTATCCATCTCGGATAATATCGGTAGGACATTGTCATGCTATCCATTATCCCTATTGACACCGTTTGGTGTCAATATCATTAAACGGGCTACCCCGGTACAGTATGTTATCGGCGCCGATTCAACCAGAAGATACTTAATGCAATCGAAGCTGGTGATAGCAAATCAGAAACGATATACACCCTAACATTGGTGGTTGAGGCATCGATATATGACGTTACAAACCCCGGACAAGGGTAAACTGCTTTGCACACTGTGACGTGCGCACACCAGTGGTCGATACACCACACATTACAGAAGAGACGGTGGAGCCTGATTGCAGACATCTTTGCCGAACGGATGGATCAGGTTCATCATCTACGCCACGACTATCCTATGGACGTTCGAAATTTCCTGAGATACCCCGGTGAACACACCGTCATGTTTTTACCGACCGAGGGTGAAATTGTCGCCCATATTTGTCCTTCTAAAGAGGAAAAAGGACAAGGTGTTGAAGCCGAAGAGGATGATGGTAGCGGAGAGCAGGCGCCAATCAGGCTGCGTGAGGCAAAGACCTCTTTGGAGGTATTGGGTCTCTTCATTCTCCAGCAAGATGGCGACCAATCAGAGCATCTGGCGATGGTGTGCAAGCTGCGGGATGCAGTGGCCAAGCATGGAATAGGAAGACAAGTTCGAACGACTCTGCGCAGTTAATTTACCCGCAAGTAGCCTCCTTCCATAACAAACATTAACTGCTATGCTGGAGCTCGTTCGAATGCTATTAAGTATTAAGAAAGAGGAGTTATTAGCCAATCTCTCTTGCCCAATATCAGTCCGAAATTCGTCATTAACCACGAGGGATTATTAGCTAGTAAGAAAGTAGCGAAGAGAGGTTCTACTCTGGAGTTACGCATGTTTCTGCAACACAGAAACTATCAGACTGGGGTTCTAGTACGTACCAAAACGCCTCTTTCTGTCGTGTCGCTTTCATAATCCCTGCACGATATCAATCTTTGCAGGCTTTCGAACTGATGAAATCCATTCGTGCGACACGCGAATGTCAACATGTTGCGCTAAATATTCACTCGACCTCAGTAGATTTGGACACTTTCAACGTATACTGTATACCAACTTACCTACTGTGAGTAAGTGGTCGGTCTCTTTTGGAGTCAGAGGGATCGGGCCTTTAATTTGGAGCTATTCGTTCCCATGAGCGAGAGCACGGAGCCGGCGCCGAGTCAGGAGTCCATGATGCCTGCTATAGACGTGACGCAGCTTACACAGGCCATCCGCGTCATCCTCAAGAACGCAGATCTGGAGCAGCTGTCGCGTCGCATGATCCGCAAGCAGCTGGAGACGCAGTTTCGCGCGGATTTGTCCAGCTATAAAGACGTGATCAACGCGACGATTCTAGAAACAATTGAAGAGCAACAAGCGGAAGAAGAGCAAGAAGATGATGAAGAAGAGCCGGAACCAAGTGAAGAGGACGAAGACGCCAACGACGACGAGCAGCGCGCTCGCAGGAAAAAGTCGACGCCTGTCAAGAAGAAAAAGACGAAGAAGGAGACACCAAAGAAGAAACGCAAGCGCAAGACTGAAGACGAGGACGGCAAGAAAACTGCTGTAGGGGGGTTCAATGCCGAGTTGTGCCTGTCCCCGGAGCTCGCGCGGGTTGTGGGAGCAGCCAGGATGGCACGACCTCAAGTGGTAAAAGCTCTATGGGCGTACATTCGCGAGCACAATTTGCAGGACCCGAACAACAAAAAATCCATTATCTTGGACGATACGCTGCGCGCTGTGTTTCAACGGGAGTCGTTCACGATGTTCAGTATGAACAAGTTTGTCAAGCGCCATGTGCGCAAGCCCGATGACTTGCCGCCTGGTGGATGGAGTCAGATCCCGCGGGATGGCGTGTCGAGTGATGAAGACACGGAAGTAAAGCCGAAGAAGAAGGCCGTGAAACGGAAGAAGAAAACGACCTCGACGGAGGAAGGAGACAACGACAGCAAGACCAAGACGCATGCATTCAACGTGGAGCTATCACTGTCACCGGAACTGGCTTCGCTCGTTGGCACTGATTTAATGGCACGACCGCAGATTGTAAAGGCATTGTGGGCATACATTCATGAACACGAGCTACAGGACCCGCAGGACAAACGCACGATTCTTTTGGACGATAAGATGCAACGGGTCTTTCAGCGGGACTCGTTCACTATGTTTTCCATGAACAAATTCATCAAGCGCCATGCTCGCAAGCTGGCGGACTTGCCACCGGGTGGCTGGGCGGATATCCCACGCGACGGACTATCAAGTGACGAGGATGAGGCCAAGACCAAGAAAAAGCCTCGAAAAGGCAAATGAGGGACGTCTGAGTAGGTGATGGCTCGATTCTACAGACCGAAATGTAGAGCAGTTAGTGAGAGGCAATGGTCGCGTGGATGCAGTGACGATAAAGTGGTAGGCTGAAGGTACGAGTGAGCTACCGAATTGTAAAGATTGACGTCACACTGCCGCACCGCTTGCTGCTATTTGCCTGTATCAGCTCAGCTTTTAGTCGAGCTTTTAACATTCGTGCTTTTGGTCTAAAACGAGCTAGGTGATGAATCCGAATTCAGCTGAAAACAGTTGTAGAGAATTCAGAGACAGAATAGAATGAGCCGTAGGGAGACTCTACCAGTATCTTTCCCGGCCAAAAATGAGTACCTCATGTCAGTATTGACAAATCAACGGACGCTACAAAAGATGAAGCTGACCGCGCGCGAGACATGACGCTTTTCAATGCCGGCGGTGGTACTCTGTGCCAAATCGACTAGAGTACCTTTTTATGTCATCTGTTTTCGAGCCAATGGTTCGTCCAGGCGTTATAATATGTACCACTCAATTTGACTGGAGCACGAATTCGAGCAAGCTTTCGTCGATCAAGACTGTCATGGACGCGTCTGTGGTCACGAGCTTCCGCGAGAAGGTCGTCGAACAGCCAGAGGTACGTTCGGATGTTACGGTCTTTCTCTCGTTCTTATCAATGGGCTCTCATTGTAACTAACAAGATCCAAATTAATCGCTTTCCCTGCCCCATCATCATTGCCATCAGGTATTCTTCACGCCATCAGACGACGTCGCAAAGGAGATTCAAGCGTTTGCCAAGCACGCGTATGATCGTACATCCAAGTACCAGAGTAACACTGGCGGTGCTCAGCCACTGGACGAGCTCTACGTGGACGGCTTTGATGCGGACCAGGTGTGGGAGCAGCTCCGTCTGCTGAATGGTCCGTTGCTGGCGGAGATGACTCAGCGCATCCGCTCGTTCAGGAAAGCTCCGGGCAAAATCAAGCTCTTTCTATCGGAAGAGCAGGAGGAAAGTAGAGAAGAGGAGGAGCAAGAAGCTGAGAGTGACGCTGAGAGCGAAGAGGAGACGCTTAGCAGTGAAGAGAAGTTCTGTGATGACGAAGAGGTAGCTGATGCCAATTTGGACACAGATGACAATGAAGTGAAGAAAGCAAAGAAAAGGAGCAGCAAGGCTCGTGATGTTGCGGAGGATGGATTCTTCGACTGGGATGAAATGGACAAAGCGGCTGAAGAAGAAGAGGATGAAGACGATGAGGATGAGGACGAAGATATGGACGGTGTTGATGGTGGAGCTGATGGTGAAAGTGTTGAAGGTGATGATAACGACTCTGAGATGGAAGAAGGCTCGGATGCTGAGGCCGCGGAGGAGATGAAGTACGGTGACTTTTTTGGAAATGAAGATGATGCAGAAGATGGAGAGGATTGTGACGAGGAGGAAGAGCTGAATGACAATGAGAAGCCTGCAGACGACAATGATGAAGACGAGTACCCGACCGTAAAGCGCGCAAAACCTGATAGTGAAGAGATTGTCGATGATGAAGAGCTCGCTGAGCGAGGCATAATGTCGTCTCATCAACGTCAGCGTCTACGACTTCAGAAAGAGATCAAAGAGCTAGAACACGAGGCTATCGGTGAGAAGCCATGGCTGTTAAAAGGTGAGGTGCGCTCGGCCGCTCGACCGGAGAACAGTTTGTTAGAAGCGGTGCTTGACTACGACATACCAGTAAAGATAGCTCCTGTGATCACGGAGGAGGTTTCTATTGCGCTTGAGAAAATGGTCAAGAAACGTATTCTAGAGAATGACTTTGATGATGTAATCCGCAAGTTTGCTGGTAACGAGGAGGATGAGAAGAAGCAGCTAGAGGAGGTGTCAATGGAAAAGTCGAAGGAGGGGCTGGGTGAAATCTACGAGAAGGAGTACATGAAAACGGCCATGGGCTTCGAGGCTGATGATGAGTCCAAGCAGGACCAAGAGGAGATTGACGTGATGTTCAAAAGCCTTTGCTGGAAGCTCGATGCCCTGTCGAATTACCACTTTACACCCAAACCAGCTGTCAAGGAGCTGCAGGTCAAGCCTGCTGTTCCTGCGATTGCAATGGAGGAGGTGGTACCTCTCAGCGTGAGCGATGCAAACTTGAAGGCACCCGAAGAGGTGTACGAGAAGAAGCGCAAGCGCGGTGAAGCCGTGCTGCAATCGAAGGAAGAGATGACGCAGCCTGAGCGCAAGGCGCTGCGTAATGCCAAGAAGCACGCGCGACGGAAGGAGAAGCGTCAGCGTGACTTTGATGAGCGCCTGGTCGCTAAACTCAACCCTGGATCGGGCAACAAGTACGAGAAGAAGAAGATGCTCGAGAGCATTGCGAGTGCCAAGAACATTACGACGGGCAAGCAGATCAAGGGGACGTCCAAGCAGTTCTCCAACTCGAAAGAGTTCTTTTCTCGTCTCCAGGTACGGACAGCTCGAGCGAGGGTTCTGATTTTTGTGTATTTCGTGCGAATGTGCAACCCATGTGGGTACATAAGCGGCAACTGACCCTCTGTTATGTGATTATGTTTCTATTTTGCAGGACGAGGTGCAGGAAAAAATCAGAAATGTCAGCAGCAACGAGTAGCGCCATTGCGGCGGGAAGCAGCGATTGTAAGCGGCAGCGACAATGTAATAGAAATGATGATTGTGTGCATATTGGTGTTGACGGACGTCTTGACGACGATCTGCAGGTCCTCTTGCAGCATACGCTGGCCGCTGTCGTGGCTTCATTCGCAGTTGGAGTTTTGTGTTTGGTCACGATGACCCCTCGTTGATGATTGTCTGGTTTTTCGCTCTCTTGTGGGTGATATAGCAAAGTCTGGTTGTTAAGCTTCAGCCGACGTTCCCTCTTTTTTCGCGATTGTTATACGGGACAATCTGGTCGGAAACATCACGTTTGCACGGATTTTGAACGGCCATGCAAATGAGATTTCATCTTTTCTCGCATCGCTTTTGTTCCAGGCAGCTGCGCTCGTGCCAGGCGGCATTGTCAAGATGGATTGAGTCTCGACGGTGTTTACATGCCCTATTGGCAAGCTGAGGCCGCCACGATATATCAGGTACGACGCGCTTACTCGCATGCGACTTTCACCGCGTGCACACACATCAACATGTAAAGTCCATTCGGTTAAACGCGCACATAGGGAGAAAGTCGCGACTTGGAGACTGCAATCAACAGCACCGAAACCCGGCGCGCGATCGTTCAATCTAGAAGCAACCCCTAAGAAAAGATGGGACATTAGCCTTTGCAGCAACAGATAGTGAGTGCATGAGCGTTCCATAAATTGTCCGACGAGAAACTTGATCAAGAGGTACTTTTGTCCTTTGTGTATGCTTACCGAGAGGTTCCTCTGTATTGCAATAACAGCTCCGACGACCGATCGGCTTTCATTTATTCAGCTAAGTACGACGGCGACAGTTGAAGATCAAAAGATCGCTTTCCTTTCGTCAGTCACTCTCGAATTTGCGCGCTCCAGCTCCGATCGATCATCTCCCGCCGTCCCTCCCTCTCCCTCCATCATCCACCATGCAGATGAACACGAGCGAAAAGGACCTGGACAACGTCAGCGTCCAGCACGAAACGGACGGTGTGTACGGCCACCCGCTCATGTGTGCGAACCTGCCGTTCGACGTGTTCCCGCAGCACTCGGTGCCTGCGCGCGTGGCGCACCAGCTCATCAAGGACGAGCTGGCACTGGACGGCAACCCCAAGATGAATTTGGCGTCGTTCGTCACGACGTACATGGAGCCCGAGGCCGAGGACTTGATGGTCCAAGGACTGCGCAAGAACTACATTGACCTGGACCAGTACCCGCAGACAGCAGAGATTCATAACCGCTGTGTAACGATGCTAGCCAATTTGTACCATGCGCCGCTAGAACCCAACCAGAAAGCCACAGGCACGGGGTGCATTGGCTCCTCGGAGGCCATTATGCTCGCTGGTCTGGCTATGAAGCGCAAGTGGAAAGACCGCCGTATCGCTGCCGGCTTGTCCTACGACAAGCCTAACATGGTCTTTGGCTCGAATGTGCAAGTTTGTTGGCACAAGATGTGCAAGTACTTTGAGATTGAGAACCGCGAAGGCGACGTCTCGCCTGATTGTCTCGTGCTCACGGCCGAGCGCGCGCAACCACTCATTGATGAGAACACGATTGGCGTCTGTGCTATTCTCGGCAGTACATTTAACGGCGAGTACGAAGACGTTAAGGCGATTCACGACATGGTCGTGGCCGTGAACGAGGCCAATGGATGGGACGTGCCTGTGCACGTGGACGCGGCCAGCGGTGGCTTTATCGCACCGTTTATCAACCCAGAGCTCGAGTGGGACTTTCGTCTGCCAAACGTCAAGAGCATCAATGTCAGTGGCCACAAGTTTGGACTCGTCTACGCTGGCATGGGCTGGGCTCTCTGGCGTGAGCCGGAAGACCTGCCGGACGACCTTGTGTTCCACGTTAACTACCTGGGCGGTGACCAGGCGTCGTTCACGCTCAACTTCTCGAAGGGTGCAGGCAACGTGATCGCGCAGTATTACAACATGCTGCGGTTTGGTTTTGATGGATATCGCCATATTATGGAGGCGAGTATGAAGAATGCAGAGTTGCTGCGGGGCGCGCTCGTGGCGACTGGCCACTTTCGAATTGTTGACAAGCAGCACATGCCACTCGTGGCGTTTACGCTGATTGACTCGTCGCGCTACTCGTGCTTTGACATCCAGGACAAGCTCAAGAGTCGCGGATGGATTGTCCCGGCGTACACGTGCTCGAGAGGCGCTGACTCGCTCGTGATCATGCGCGTGGTTGTGAAGCAGAACTTTTCGTCCCACATGGCGAACATGCTGGTGCAAGATATTTTGAAGGCCATTGAGGGCCTTGAGAAGCACCACGTGTTGGTGGACGCGGCCATGTCGTCACCCAAGGCAGAGAAGAAACACTTTAAAGACATTGTGCACACTTTCCAGAACAATCTCAAGCACCAGAAGTCGGGGCTCACGACGCATGGCGTTTGCTAGTTGCATTAGCTGCAATACGCGCGCGAGTATTCGACGTGCGGGCGCGTCGTACTATGCAGCTGCTGGTCTCTCCGTGTTCATAGCTGTAACTTCCGAGCTGTCTGGACAGCAAACGACATGCCTCTGACTTTAAAAGACTAATCACGTGCAAATGTTCGACTGTGTACGTGATTGCGTCGAGGGACTGACAGCGATGTTTAATAACGATGCTTGTTTCTTCTGGACGTAAGTAGGAGTGTTCACAGGTGAACAGAAAGCATTATTCAAGCCATGCAAGACTTTGATAATGTACGAGGAATGGACCACGGACAGGGCGTTCCAAGAGCTCTTTACAGCACTACTAAACCATCTTTGGCAGTCCGCGAGGCACTCTCTATCCAGTTGACGGTTAGACGATCAGTGAGCTCCGCAAAGTACCAGGTCGCTGTCGTCGACTCATCCGAATACTGTTCTCAATTCCCATCGACATGTCGGTATGTGGATGTCGGCATCGGTAGCTTTACGAGGTGCAACACTCACGGCGAAGGAACTACCTCAGCTACTAGATTGTTCATTCTATCGCCACATGACGTCTTGGTGACCTCGTATCCGCTACAGTCTCGCACTTCGTACCAAGCCATGAGCTGCTGCTGGGCGTCAATGCCATAGATCTTGACGACACCTTGTACATCCGATCCAGAATGCAATTGGGACTTGTCGGTTCCGAATATCCATGACCTGATCGAAAAAACAGCAGTACGGCGACGTTGTACGGAAGTCGTGGTTGAATCTTCAGAGTCGCAGCACAGCAGCTACGAAACGACGTATACGGAACAAACGAGCGCTGCTCACCCTGCATAATCGATACTCGACTTGTCCCAGCGTAACGGGCTCATTTGAATATGTGTGGGCGATCACGATGCACATTGGCGCGTCAGCAGGTGGCAGAAGCAGCGGGTGTCTCTCCGGAGGAGTTTATCGATGGAGACAAATGTACGACAAGGGACAAGAAATGTTCAAGAGCTCGGTGTCGTGTAGAGAGTGCTGACATGCTGGTGGGGCTTTTGCTCGCTCGCTCGCTCACTGTGTGTCCCTGTAGACAAACCGGTGGAGAATATGGGGCCAGGACGATGCGGACCAGTGCTTTTGCAATGCGGTGGCGAAAAGGTAGACAGTGAGACGAAAGCGAAGACGCGTCTTCAGGCCATGCGGGTACGCGCTGCTTTGGAACATACTGTCAGTTGCATTGATTGTGGACGCATGGAGTCGGCGACTGACTCTCTCACTGCTTCTAGTGGGGACTTGTTCCGTCATTCACCAAGGCTAATGCAAAGCCAGATCATTTTCTGATGTTCAATGCCAGGTACACCAACGATAATAGTGGGTGTGCTAGAACTGGATTATTATGTGAACGATGTTGTTCCAGGTCCGAGAGTCTCAAGGAAAGACCAGCGTTCAAGAGACTCGTGGAGTCAAAGAGATGTGTAGTGGTGTGTGAAGGGTACGCAACGATGCACCGACTATCGTGTTTGAATGGGCGATCTGACGGATTGGTGTGTAGGTATTACGAGTGGCACCAAGTCGACAAAAGAGAGAAACAGCCGTACTACTTTTACCGCGAGAAAAGTCTGATGAAGGTAAGCAAAGAGCTGCAGCCGACGATCTGTTCTTGGAGTATTTGTGCCTGTTATGACGACGTTGATCCGCTTTATAGTTTGCAGGGCTATACGATCGCTGGAAAAACGAGGAAGGCGAGCTGATGTACACCTATACTATCCTCACCACTGCGATCGCGTCAGAGATGAAGTGGTTGCACACCCGAATGCCGGTAAGTTGATTGCAGCACCAGCTTTTAAAAGTGATACTACTTACTGCCTGCAAGATGTCCGTCGCATGACACGTGCGGGAGTTACTAGGTCATTTTGCCGCTGGACGAAGATGTTGGTCGGTGGCTTTCCGGTGCAAAGTTTGAAGACCTCAAAGGTTTGCTGAAACCGCATAGCGGAAGCGACTTAAAGTGGCATCCTGTGGACAAGAGAGGCAAGCTATTGTCGATTCTTTGCACGCAATCTGTAATGCCGTCTCGCTCACAATGTCTCGATGCAGTTGGATCGATGCAGTTTCAAGGTGAAGAATGCGCCAAGCAGATCAACATTAAGCATGCAGGTACATTATGCAGCAACAGTTGTGGCGCATCTGGTATCTGAGACGTTGTGCCTTTTGTCAGGCGACATCAAGTCGTTCTTTGGAGTCAAGACAGAGAAGCAAGAGCCTCGGGTGTCTTCACCAAGGATACCACCAACGACGTCCGACAAGACGGACGAGGTACTAAGCAGTGATTCTGTTGCCAGCTCTTCGGTCAAAAAGGAAGAGCAAAGTGTCGACCCCGACGCTAGGCTGGCAAAACGCTGTCAACAGTTTCCCACCAACTTTGTGCCAGCCTCCTCGCTCCTGGGCAAAAGCTTCGCGGATGAAAAGGAGGCGACTCAACCTGAACAGCTGAACCAAAAGCGCCGTCGCGTGTCATCTCCATCACGACCGAAAAAGACGTCCACACTCAAGTCGCCAGCCAAGTTCAAGATGTCGCCCGGCCCGAAACAATCGTCGCTCGACTTTTTTTTCAGCAAGGGGTCGGCTCCGAACTGAGTCCACGTTGTTTCGATCATTTTATACCCTGTCTAATCCGTTTCAATCGATGCCTGCCATCTCCCTCTGACATCCAATACAAGCTGTCAGTCCACAGCTCGGCTCACGCCCTCATCGCCGACCCTGTCCCCACCTCCTTGGCTGTGTCTCGCTCACTAGTCGCCCGGATATTAAGCAGCTACTATCTACCCTCATCCTCAGTGTCTTGCACGTCTATAAGTGCAAGTTCGAGCTCAATCGCCGCAGTATTCGCTTCGCTACGAGCTTTCGCGCAGATTTATCCGACAGGATGGAGATGAACAAGGGGGAGGCCGAGAAATGCCTCGAGATTGGCAAGAAGCACTTGCGTGTGGGCAATTGGGACAAGGCCATTAAGTTCTTGGACAAGTCGCTCCGCATGTACCCATTGCCCGGCGTCGAGATGATGCGCAATCGAGCCCAGGGAGAGCTGGAAAAAGCCTCGACGGCTCGAGCACAGCCAACGTCACCACGTGGCAGCGCATCAAGTGCCGGAATGCGGCATCGAGCAGCTCCGTCCGGGTCTCCATCCAGGTCTCCATCGACCGAGTCTTTGCGGCCGTACACGGCTGAACAGCTGCAAGTCGTGCGCAAGATTAAGGCGTGCAAGACACACTATGAGGTGCTGGCAGTGCGTCAAAGTGCGACAGATAGTGAAGTCAAGAAGGCGTACCGGAAGGTGAGAAGGAGAGACGAAGATGGCGTGGGTGTCTTGATCTGGGTCGTGACGTGGTGTGTGTGTGTTTTCTTTTGGTTCTTTTGCTTGTCTTGGGTGTTGATTGGGGTCACGTAGTTGGCGTTGAAGCTGCATCCTGACAAGAATAGCGCGCCTGGAGCGGAGGATGCGTTCAAAGCTGTTGGAAAAGCGTTCACGGTTTTAAGTGACCCGGACAAGCGTGCTCATTATGACCGCTATGGAGACGATACCCAGGTGCAGCAGCAGCAACAACAGCAGGGACACGGATACGCCCAGGGTGATGACATTACACCGGAAGATCTATTCAACATGTTTTTTGGTGGTGGCTACCGTCCTCGTGGACGTCGGCCCGCACCACCGCAAGCTCCTCGACATCACCACCAGCAGCAGCAACCCCGTGGCGCCATGGCAAATCTCGTCCAGTTTATACCGCTGCTGCTGATCTTCCTCATGTCAATGCTCTCGATCCCGTCGAGTCCAGACGTGCCGTTCAGCTTGAACCCGACGCAGCAGTTTCACGTGCACCGTGCGACACAAGTGGCCAACGTGGTGAAGGGCATTCCGTACTATGTCGAGCGCGATTTTGAGCAGCGGTATACGACGAACTGGCGTGATCTCTCACGAGTCGAACAAATGGTGGAGCAGGCGCATGTGGCCCGACTTGCTGAGACTTGTGAAAACCTCAAGCTGCGGCAGAAACGGATGATCTATCGTGCTCGCAATTCTCGTAGTGAAGACAGAGAGTCTGCTATGCGTAAAGCATTGGAGATGAAGTTGCCACCGTGTGACGAGCTGCGCAGATTCCGGCGGACACGGCGCTATTGACCACGACGGTAGGAGCAGGAGCAGCAGATATGTACTAGTCAGCAGGGCCCATGCGGCTTAGAGGGCACGAAGAAAGCAGCGCAAGAGAGACCAGAGGCTATCATGCGTTGTTCAATCGGGATAGGACACAAGAAGGTGAAGAGCACAAGTGAATACGAGCGAGATACACATATGAAGCACGAAAACCGTGTTGGGTCGGACACTTCAGCATGCTAGTCATTTGTCCTTCTGTTTTGAATTCGCTGACGTGCCTGAGGTAGTATACACATTCGTTTTATCCAGTATACGAGCTCTTGATTTGTTGTTATCAAAAGCACTTTTTCTTCCGTTCCGTCTTTGTTTGTTTTCTATCGATCAGACGATATCAAACCGGTATGGTTCAGTACCCTCCTCCAGCCTCGCGACATGATGACGCTGAAAGGTTCAAGACCAAAACCCGGACGAGAGATGGCGACGAACGAACTGGCGGCGATACTCGCGCGACGCCGCGCCAAAGCCGGCGGGGAGAGCGCGTCGGCGGCCCCTGCGGTCGAAGAGAGCGCTCCTCCAGCTGGGAAGACGGCTCCATCGGCTGCTAAGAGCTCTATCGCTGAACGGATCGCGCGTCTCAAGCAGCAAAGTGCAGCCGCAGCGGAAGCGGCTCCTGCGCCAGCTTGCAGCCAATCAGAGACATCTTTGGAGCCAGCAGCTGTGGGGACGGGACAAGAAGACGGTAGTGGTTGTACGGCAGCAGCATCGGAGGGTGTGGATACGTCGGCTGTTGCTGCTGCTCAAGAGGCGGCTGGACTTCGTCGAGCGTCGAGCAAGATCCAGCAGCTCCAGGGCAGTCTTGGGATCAATGTGAACCCATTTGGACGTCCATCGGGACCGGTGAAAAGTGGGGGCAGCCGACAGCCTGTCGGGTACCAACGAGAGTCGATCATGAGCACTGGAGAGGAGCAATATGGACACACGAAACACGCGATGGGTGTTGCTATGCCCGGTATGATGGGGTCGGCGATTCCAATGCCTGGGTTGACAAAGCGGGAATTCCGTCTCCCTGGACTGGCTGTAGAAGGGGAGCAAAGCGCTGAGGCTTCGAGTGCAGCACTGGACAACTCACATGTACATGTCGCTTTTGATGAACTGAACTGTATAGCACAAACAGCGTCGATACTGATATTACATGTGATGATGATGCTATAGACGACAATGAACCGTGTGGCAGGACCCAAGCGTCGAGGTCCGATGCGACCACCGCCAGGAGCTTTCCGGATCCCGGTGCGCTCAATGTCACTTGATGTTGCATGGTGAAGACAACGAATATTGCTGACCTCTTTTTCTTGACTGTTTTTCGTAGGCGATGACGGTGCCTCGAACCAACGATGTTGAGCCTGATGCAGTAGCTGCAGCTGAGCCTGCCGTTGTTGTGGCATCGGCACTTGCTCAGGATGCGAAGCCAGAGGCTCGCGAATATGTAGCTATGGGATCACTACCATCATCTGTATTGGCAAAAGCTGCTCGTAGTCCAGCTACAGTGTACGCACCCGTGTCGATGCACACGCTCACGCCGTCCACTTCTGTACCAGCCCCTGTAGCCGCAGCGGATTTGCAGAAGCTACCGGAGCCCGAGCCGTTGCTGCCGATGAAACCCTACGAGATTCAAGACGATCCATTTGCGCCAACATACGAGGCCCCTGCTGAGCTACCCGATGCACCGGCTGGATTCCCTAGCGCATTGATGGCGAATTTCTCCATGGATGAGCTTGTAGTCACTGACCAGCCAGAGCCAAAACCATCAGCACCGTCGAGTTTGCATTCGACACCTGCTTCGTCGTCATTTGGAGCGACTAGTGGGCCCGCACCGACCTCGAGGGTCGCACAGAAGCCTTTTGCACCAGTGCCGGCCGAATCAGCCGAGACCCCTCTACCAGCACCTGCAGTTACTACGCCTGCTTCAAACCTTGAGCGGCCCGCTTCTTCGGTGATTGCTACGCCTGCGCTGGTTCTCGAAACTCCTGCTTCTCCGGTTCTTGTACCTGCGCCAGCTCCAGTGATGTCTTCGCCGACGCCGACGTCCGTACCCGTATATGCATCGACGCCAACTCTTCTGACAGCAGTTCCTGCCGCCACGCCGGAGCCCGCACTTGTATCGACCCCTACGCCAGCTGTAGCCGCAGTTCCAGCAGGTCCGGTCCTATTCGGTGCTGCTGCTTCGGCAGCCTCGGACGATGACAACTCGAGCGAGAGTGACTGGAGCGACGGCGACGATGATGATGACGACAATGGTGGCCAGTCATTGTTCGGTGGAAAAACTGCAGCCGCCAAACCGGAGACGATGAGTTCCTCTCCGACCCTCGTGACGCCGACACAGTCCACTCCAGAGTGTCACCACGCCCCGGCGCTCAGTGGTGGAAACCTCTTTGGCGATCCGTCCAGCACGTCAGCGTTTGTGCCTGCTGCTGCAACGCCTGGATTCGTGCAGGCTGCACCTCAGACTACCATACCTCCAGCGCCTTACAGCTCGCTCTTCGGTGGAGCTGCCAGCAGCAGCAGTGAAAGTGACAGTGACAGTGACGATGAAGGTGGCCTCTTTGGCACCTGATTGCCGTTCTATCGACAAGGCTTCGGCCAGAAATTGACGATGGATGTGCTGTGCGCCATTTACTCAGGGACTTAGAGAGAGGATTGCCCGCTGGTCGACAAGCAGTGTTGACTGTCCCGGTGGCAAGCCTGCAGTGATTGAGCATTGTGGTTTGAGTTTTGTTTTCATTTCGTGGTTGACAATGTGCAGCAATGAGGGACTTGTTTGTTTTGTTACCGTTGCGAGTCAAGGTGTCGAAGCGCTCTCGCACTTTCACTGACTGGTGCTGGCCACACCAATTCGCAAAAAAGTCCTTCCCCTTCGATGATTGCGTCTTGATCATCGCATCTTGAAGTCTCAACAGATGCGACACAACCCCCCGTTCTCCTGCGTGCAACAGATAGATACACGTGCACACCCTACCACTGCTGGCTCGGTGCCATCTTTACCGTGTTGATGTACAGCATGTCTTCAATTTTAAAGTACCGGCCCCAGAAGTAAGCCTTGGAGCCACCCATCGTGCCCTTGATTCCTTCAGCTGCCACCAGTCGTTGCACCGGTAGATAGGCCGGCGAGTCCGGATGCAGAAACGTCTTGCGCGACCGTGCCTTGTTATAAACCAGCATGGGATGAATGGTGCTCAGCGATCCGTCGGTTTCTGTAGCCACCTGAATCTTGTAGATCTCTCCAAGAGAACCCTCGGCATCGCCGTCTTCGTTCATGTTCACGCGAATCACCGCTTGGTACGGGAACTCCTGCAGCTTGGACGCTGGTTCGTCCAGCTTCACAGGCAGCCACACCATCTCGTCCGACGCCTGCGAAGGTTCGTCCACGCCGCCCTCACGCAGCGACTTGGAGGCCCCGCCCACGGTCATGAGCTTCAACGGCTCCTTGCTGCTCTCTTCCATGGGAGAGTTCATCCCCATCTTGTGCATGTAGCGCTTGACGCGCTTGAAAGGCACGCGCGTGAACTTGCCGCCATGAGACACGACGTGGTCGTGGACGCGCTTGACGCCAAATTCCGGATGTGCAAACTTGATGGCCTTGATGAGCGCCGTGAGCTCGTCCGCGTCGGGACCGGATCCGGGAGACGGAGACGCTGATGCGCGGGTGGTGCCCGTCTGCTCGGGCGTCTGTGGTGTAGAGCCATTCTTTCGGGTACTTGCGCCGGCCATGGTCAGTCACGGCGAGGGCGGAGAGATCAGCGTGAACGGGACTTGTGAGGGACGAATGATGGTTTTTCTTTCACTGGAGTAGATGGGCTTGATGGGGATGCTGAAGTAGCGCGAACCTTGCGTGGCACAACAACGCTTTTTGGTGATACTCGAGCTGGGGAGGTGAGACAGGATAAGGTATTAGTGTGGAACACTATGTAATGTGGTGTGCAGAACGTGGACAGATGATGTGTGTTTGTTGCTTGGAGCCGGTACACTCGTGCGACCTTCAGCAGCCAGCAACGGATCCTGCCACGATGGAAGGTTCGTCCTGGATGAATGTGTCACTTTAGCAGCCCATTTTAGCATAATCCGAATTGGGTCGGTATGTTTGGGCAACGTTAATGGGCTCGGATCGACAGGCGGCGCCATTTGGTTCAGTGCGAACGGCGATCGTCAACTGACGTTACGAAGGGACTCGAAATTACTGCGTTCACCTGCGACAAGTGTGTGTAATTCTGATTGCAGCCTGTACAGTTCGTAAGCACCACAAAAAGCCGCCACAACAGTGTGTACACACGCAGAATCGTTCCCGACACTTGTGACGTGAACGAGAGTCTCTACCAGTCTATCCAGCGTGCAGAGACTGCTCTCACGAGAAAATAAACGAGCGCCACACATGCGTCCGTAGACGGGTCGTTCTGCCACTCGCAACGCTTTGATGAAGTACGAGCGCTACATACACATCAGTAGACGGGTCCTTCTGTGGTTTGCAACCCTCACGTGACAAAGGAGCGACGCATTGCGTCACTAGAACGTACGGTTGTGCAGCACACATATTCAGCAGCACTGTGAGAAACCAGAGATCGCCCGTGTCCAATGGAAACAGTCGCTCAAAAACGTGCAGTTGACACGTGATCTAATGCTGCGTGTTCTCATTAACTGAATCCCCACCATCCTAGTGGCGGAACCAGCTGGCCGTGATGAACTGGCTCGTCAGCTTTGCGCCTAGACTAGGACCCAGTGTCGATAGGCGATTTCGCAGGTTTAGGCAATCCAGGAGTGCTCTCAAGCGTCGATTGCACAACCGACTGCTGCATCTGACGTGCGGGCTCCCGCTTAAGTGCACGCGCCTCCACATACTAAAGCCAAGTCACGCCACGCGCGAGGGCAAAATCCAGTCCCAAACACGCCGCGCAAAGAAGACCGACGCACGCCCCACCCAGAGGCCAATCGACGAAGAAGGACGGATTCGTACCGCGGGAACGAGCGCTCGGCCCTGATTCCCTCCGCGTCCTTGACTGGCTGACTCGCCCCCGGACCTCCTGGCCGCATTTCGCCGTCTGTCGATACGTCCATCTACCGGTCTCGCTCCTTTCTGTCGACACAAGTGTCCCCGCACTCGTTGCTCTTGAGGGTAAGCAGACAAGCCGACGGCGTCATGCCCAAGAACAACTACGACGATGACGACGACGACGACGACCTGCTGATGGCGCTGCAGAGCATGGAGCCATGCGGCAATTGCGGCGCTGATGGGGCCAAGATCCCGTGTATGAGTGGCTGTGGAGAGGTCTTTTACTGCTCTCGGGTAGGTCCCGGTCGTCGTACTTTAGAGAGAGAGAGAGGTGTTGTGGGGTGCGGTGCTGATGCTCGTTGTTGCGCTCTGGATGTGGGTGGGTGTACTGGTGTACGGACTGTAGGAGTGCAACATGCACCACGCGTCTGCGCATCGTCTGCGGTGTCGGAACTTGCGGTGCTCCAAGTTCAACGACTCGGAGTGTAGGTCTTTCTTTTTGCTGTTGTGGAGGCTGGTGGTGGTTCGTGAGACAGGGTGGAAGAGGGTATGGGACGCACTGACGCTGGTTTGTGGTGATCGTGGTGCTGTAGCCGAGTCAGGGGGATCGGACGACTCGGAAGAGTACGAAACGGACTCGGGAGCCGAGTACGAGACGGACTCGGACGAGGACGAGGACGAGGAAGAGGAAGAAGTAGAGGAAGTCAAGTCCAAGAAGAAAAAGGGCAAGAAAAAGAGCCGGACCAAGTCCCGACGCGTCAATAGCTCACGCAGTGTTGAATCGTCTGGTAGTACGGTTGCGGTAAGGAAGCAGTAGAAGGGCTGTTGCTACTGCTCATTGGATCGAACGTTTCTGGACTGACTCTGGTGTCCGTGTCACTCTCTGTACAGCGAACTGTCAGCGTCGACGCGGATGTCGAGAAACGCATTGAAGAGAAGATCTTGCGGCGGCTGAAAAAGCAGGAGGAGGCGCGCATTGCTCAGGCAATTGAAAATCGCATGCGTGAGGAGAAAGCGAATTGGCGCGACGACGAAATGAATCGCATCATTATGGAAATGCGGGAACGCTTTCAGAGCGAAATGACGACGTCGACCTTCTGGACTGCATTGGCCAAGAAGAACGGATTGGAAATGGAATCACAGGAAATGCAGACGCTGCAGAAGTCGATGGAACACTCGTTCCTGGCGTCCAACCCACAGTCTGAGGACAAGGTGGCTGTGCCACTTTCGGCTGAAGAGGCTGTCGCGGCTGGAGTCGCTGCGATCGATGGATCTGCGGAGGCTACAGTTAGTCGTCCTCGCACGGTGTCGAAAGAGTCATCATGGAACAACGCTTGTGCAGCATTTGATGCACTACGTGTGGTTGTGTGGAAACATAGTTTCTTGCCTCGTCTACAGTTTTGTGCTGATGGCACTGCAGGCATATGGAATACTGTCACGAAGCTGGATGCTGACGAGTCATTGGCGCACATTTGCGTGGGTGACAAGTTGCTTTCGATTAACGGACGGTCTATAGACGATGCGGTGCAGACTGAGGATGACCTGAATGACGTATTCGCGGCATATGCATCGCCTATAATCATGAAATTTGAGGCAGGGGACCCGTCTCCACCAAAATGCAAGGTACACGACTACACGGTAACGTGGTCGAATGGACCGCTCGGTGTGACGTTGAAGGATGACAGTGCTACGCAAAAAATCCCGATTGTGAACCGCTTGACCAAGAAGTCTGGATCAGTGGCTGTAAAGCAGAATATCGCAATTGGTGACGTTCTTGTTGCTATCAACAATATTGACACTATCCAGCTCGGCTGCTCTCTTTCCATGTCGATTCTAAAGAAGGTGCAGTTACCTGCTAAGCTCCGATTCCGCGGTGTCGGTGGGCCTACTCAACAACCAGCAGTAGACACGGGATCGCCTTCCGCGGTGCCACCGCGTAATGTTGTGACTGTTTCACGTGCGCCCAGCACTACGAAGCACGAAGATGTCAGTGCCTCCATTGACGAGCGCGCGCCGTCAGTGATGAACCTCAGTATCAGCATGTCACGACCGAGCAAGTACTCAGTCAATTGGGGTGAAGGGCCGTTAGGTCTAACGATCATTCCAGGTCTGCACGACGGCGATCTTCCAGTTATCAAAAAGGTCACTGGTACGGGTAACTCCGTAGGTATCGACAAAGCGCAGGTGGGCGACTTCTTGGAGAGCATGAACGGCATCAAGGCAGCATCGATGCACTTTGAAGATGTCGTTTCATTTTTGAAGACGGCGCCAAAACCTGTGTTGTTGCGATTCCGCTCGGCCCTGGTTGACGATGATACTGGAGACCCATATTCGCACCGTAGCAATGGTACGGCCCTTTCTGCTAGAAGTGATGGTAGCAACTCGGCAAGGACGCATTCGGGCTACGACAATGCTCCGGCACACATGAGTCCTCGTCCGCAGTCATCACCAGTGCCAGCCCCTGCTGCGAGCTACCATGCCACTGAAATCACGAGGCAAGTGTCACGCGAGCCTCCAAGCGATTTATACAAGGTTGTGTGGGGGTCGGGCCCACTGGGTCTTACAATCGACGCAAAACCGGAAACGGGTGCATTCATTAAGCGCATTGCTTCTCAGGGCGCAGCAGCTCATCTTGCTCAGGATTGCGTCGGTGACGACGTCACGCACATCAACGACATGGACGTGTCACATGTGGCATTCTCGGACATTGTAGCACATCTTAAGAATGTGCCACGCCCGGTGTCGCTTTTTTTTCGGCGCAAGTCCTCCCGTCATCATCATGAACGACACGGTTCTTGGTCGTCAAATTCTGGTGGAAACTCACCAACTCGGCACGCCGCACCTGCTCCAAGCCATAGTCGGAAAGCAGCACTCGCCGCAGCTGGCGAGGACCATGGTATGCGCTCCTACAGCATTGTGTGGCAAGATGGCGCCCCGCTTGGCCTTTCGTTGCGTGGCGCCGAGAACGGGTTCGAGTATCCTTACATTAGCCGCGTTACAGGCACCGGGTGTGCAGCGCATTTGCCACAGTCTGTGTTAAATGACTGCCTAATCTCAGTCGACGGCCGCAGTGTGCACGTTCGCGACAGATCGTTCGAGGAAGTCATGACATTGCTCAAGGTGATGCCAAAACCGCTGACATTGACCTTCCAGACGCGAAATGTGGGTGGCACACAGTCTCGTGCTCCAGCACCGTCACCAGTACCAACGTCAATCCCAGCACCAGCTCCGCAGCATCAACGTCGGGCGCCGTCACCTTCACCATCACCACCACCGCCTCAGCCACAACAAACTCAGCAGCGAAAGGCGATAAAGTCGCAAGAATCGTACACATGGCGGCAGAACCGGACTCCTCCCCCACCTGTACCTGCCGATCAGCCTCTGGCGCAGTGCATCACGAGCTCGTCGGTCCCGGGTGGAAATGGCACGCGTGGGCACAATAGTAATAATCTCAGTAGAAGCTTCTTAGCAAACGGCGGTGATCGCGGGCTAAGTGCCGGTGCGACTCCGGGCAACGAGGACAAGTTCAGCAGCATCCAAGCACCCTTCCTCATGCAGAACAAGCTCTCGACTGGCCGCCGGCAAAAGATGCTCAAGGGTCTCAAGAAGTAGGAAGGCGTACACCATGCCGAGATACTCGACACTTGTCGCCTTTCAACGGTCGTGCGAGATGTTAATGACGATCCGTTGAAGTTGCTGAAGAGAGGACGGGCAAGGTGCGGAGAGGAAGGAGACAACATCTCACAGGAGAGATTGAAGACATCAGCACAACAAGCGGCCATGGAGTGAAGTACGAAATGTAACTCGGGATGGCAGCAAGCATAAATATCTTACAAGGAAGGTTGACGACATCGGCACAGCACACAAGCATGATTCAGGGAAACAAGCAATGGAACTTGAGATGGCAGCACTCATTACGACGCAGCATTTCGAAGCAGTTGTTGTCCTGCTAGAGGGCCCAACAACATGTACGATGGTCCATTTCATGCTAAAGAACAATGGGTGAGGAGTAACGTCAATCTGTCTTGTGCAAATCTTGCATTGTGTTGTATGACTAAATGTCCCGCAGTCGTCCAGCTGGGGCAAACGTTGTTGATTGATGTTGTTTACATTGAGATGTCTTGCATTTCCAGTTGATCCTGCCTGCATCTTCTCGACACGCTATCGCTGCATCCATCGCTATCGTCCTGAACTACAGTCATAGCTTTTTGTTGTCAGCGAAGCAAAACTCGCTGCGTTTTGGCTTGAGAGTCCGGCACCCCGTTACATTGAGGACATGCGACTTTTGCTGCCACGAACTCCACTCGTGTTAAGTTCAACTGCTTTTGCATTGCACGACTCGACATGTTTGGTTGCATGTCACTTATTCTTGAAGCCGTTCATTAGATTAGAGCCAAGCGATGAACAGTTTGTTCTTCGTTCTGAAATGCAACAGATTCTGGAATCTCTGAGTGACGGAGAAGCTGTTGACATGTGCGTTCTGTACCTGCTGTCTCTCAGCAATCGAAAAGCTCGCAATCTCTTGTTCAAGAGGCTCTTTTCGAGGGTAGCGAGGACAGTGTCGCGGTGATCGTGGTATGAACTACACAAACGTTCGACGACAACTTCAGAAGATGGTGCTCTGCGCAGAAAGAAGAAGCAGCGCTGCTGCTGCTGCTGCTTTCGCTCGAAGTACTGGAAGAGCCTGACTTTGCAGCTCTATTGGCATTTTGTTGTTGTTGCCAGACTCACGAGATCTAACCGCTGCTCGTCTCGCCTGCACGAATACCAGCCAAAGCTCTGGAGCCGAGATCTTACACGAAACTCGATTTTACAAGCGCTCTCGTCTGTCATACCTCGGTGAATTAGGTTAAGCGTTCAAGGATCCCTTTTCTGATAGCATGAGGACCACGAGGCAAGCTCTGTTTGTCAGACAGAGACTGCAGGACTGCTGAATCAGATGACACATGCATCCTATGTCCTAAAGTCGTCGCATGCGTGCGCAGCAATAGCTTCGCGAAAACATGACGGATACGCGACTAAGACCGCAATGCAAACGTAA